AGGACCTTCACACCCAAGCACAGCCATAAAGCAGAATCACTCACACCAGCCCGAATCCAAGACTATCCATATTCAATTTAGGCCCGGGTGAAATCTTTCATCTGCTTTACAAGGCTTTCTATTAGATGAGTTTGTAAAAAAGTAGCCCTTCGGAAGTCTAGATTATTTAAATCGTTTGAAATCAACTGAAAAGGTGCAGACGGGCTCCATCTAATCATTTGATTTTTTCAATCTATCCAAAAGTATTCAGACAGCTCTTGTAATGACTGATTTCTCCTACTTTAAGGGGGAATTCCACAGATTTTTCTTATTTTCTGCATAATTCAGTGGTTGATATGTAAACAACGCCATTCAGGGTGGTCTGGTTTTGAAATGGTTCATTGTAGAGAAACTTACAGACTCTGATTTCTTTAGTGGTGGTGATAGGAAGCAGGGGTTGCGATAACTACAGCACAAGCAGAACCATTTTATTTACTATCCAAAACAACCAGTGAACCTACTACTTACCTACCTACAGTCTTCTGAGCTTGTATATGCAATTTTGGTGATAAAATAGTGGAATCTGTAAAATGTAAGCTTTCTCTGGGGACCATTTTGCCCTATAATGACCTGCATGTACCTCTCCACTATGAACAGATTAAAAAAAAAATACATTTTAGTCCAAAAGCGTATCTCTCAGACATCAGGCAGCGTATTCCATTTTCTGTAATAACTTAATAGCGTCTGGTTCCTATCAGTACCGAATTCTGATTCTGTAAGCTTCTCTGGAATGTAACATTTCACATCAAGCCACTCTGAATGACTTTGTTTACATCTTAATCAGCTAATCATGCAGAAATGTTGAAACATTTGTGGAATTAAATTCCCCTTTAAGCTGCAAACATGACAAACACAGGTGTTTAACTGTGCAAACAGAGCTTGTATCATCTCCATAGAAAAGCACTCACCAATAGAACCGGATGCTCTGGAGCAGCCACGAGTCACCATGCCCAGTGCCCTCTGGGGGTTAGGGAGCTATAAATCCCCCCAGTGCTGGGCTGTGGAGCAGTGAAACTGTGTTCTCTGGAGGGATAAAACTCCATCCAGTACCTTTGGGATGAGTTGGAGTGAAGCTTGTGATCCAGAACTAATCATCCCACATCAGTACCTGACCTCACTAACGCTCTTGTGGCTGAACGCACTTAAATCTAGTGTAAAGCATTTCCAGAAGAATAGAGATTGTTACTGCAGTAAAGGGGGATAACCTCCCTGTTAATACCCTTGATTTCAGTAGAAACACTGGATGCAGTGCCAACCCTATATAATATGCGACACAAGCAGTGGGCCACAAAGGCAGTTAACTCATTTTTCAGACAGCTTTATCTGTTAATTCAGGTTTAGATACTCAGGCTGTGATTAATCCTTGTGCGTGTGCACATGAAAGCCACCAGGGGGATCTAGGCTTAAAGTTAGATGGGTAAGCAAGAAATACTGTGTCATGAGACCCCTGGATCCAGAATGCTGAGAGGTTTATCTGACTTATTAGAACACCAAACGCACAATCAGCAGCCATAATTAGCCACAATTAACTACAATATACAATTAGCCGTTTATATAATTTACATAACTTGTGATAGTCATTGTTATTAGTTAGCTTATAATTTTATAGTACACCAGTTAATAAGAAGAGGGACCCCAAAAACAGCCTGCTTAAGGGCCCCCAAAAAGCTAGAGCTGGCCCTGATTGGATGAGGAGGTGTCTCTAAAGATGCAGACATTCTTCATAGTTCATTAATTTCTTTGAACCTATTATGGGAACATTTGTATATTATTCCTACTTCAAATACTTCAAATAAAGCACCAAGCCAATAGTTTTACAATAGTTTTGAGATAAGATTTTGGCCTAAAACATATGTATTAATAAGGAGAGGTACACACAGGGCGCTGCAAGGCAAAATAATTCCCCCAAAAAGTTATTTTCTTCAGGTTTACCACTATTTTACCATCATCTACATCACATATAAAAACTCAGGAGACACATGGTGGTTCACTGGTGCTTTCAGATAGTAAATAAAGTGGCTATAATTGTGTCATAGACATTGTGACCCCTGGTTCCTCACCACCACTGTAAAGAAATCAGTGAGTATATTTCTCTACCATTTCATATCAAACCACTCTGAATAACACTGTTAACATCTCAACCATTGAATTATTAAAATAAAAAAAAGTCAGTGAAAGTTCCCTTTAAGGAGTTTCCTCAGGGTGATGTAGTTTGCTAATGGCTATGGTTGGCTATGGCAACTGTATCCTTCACAGTTTCATTTCCATGTTCAAACTAATGTAAGGCAAACAAGCATTTCCTCGTACTGAAAGTAATAACAGGGCATGGCAGTTTGCTCTAATTGGAGCATAATTATTCCCAAATGGTAAGAAAAATGTTGCTGCCACCCTCAAAGGCTGAAGTGCTTGCAGACCCTTCAAGCACTCCAAGCTGATCTCACTGTCACATCTTCACTAGAAGAAGCTGCTGAAAGCTCTTTCATCTTCTCTGGGGAGAAATGCTTAGGCTTTCATACATGAGAGACGCCATACATCGTATCAGGCTGGCAAGCTGCCAGGCGTTTGAGGGCTTCTCCACTCCACTCTCTCGCAGAAAAGTCCACAATAGTGGATGAGAGTAATTGAAAAGAAGTGTTTCACTGAAGTGAAAGCCTCCTTTTCCCTTTGTAAATGGTTCAGATTATGGTTGAAACCCATATCATCTAGAGAGAAAGCAAGATTTCCCCACTCATCTCATTTACCCTCACTGTCATAACAAAACCTTGTAACTATTTTTTGGGCTTTTTTTTCCATTTAGAAAATACGAGCTGTACTCTACACAGTGTGAGCAGATTAAAAGAAATGGTCCAACACCACTCAGAATGAAATCTGTTTACACGAATGACAATTGATTCAATTCATCAATCATGATTATTCACATTATTTTGTGTTGTTAACCGCGATAAATCATATTTGCTCAGACAAAGACCCTAAAGAAATGTTTTTCACTTTAAAAAGCAGTGCATTTTGCTATAGCTCGTTATAATTTGAACCTGAACATGAAAATCATAACTTCCACACAGAGTGAACACTTCTATTTTTCATCACTGACGTCCAGTGAGAGCAACAGTGGTTGCACGTTCCACCCAACAAGTGTATATATCATATCAGATATGGACCACTCTACTGAATTACTTCAAACTGTTAAATATTAAATATTCAGACAAAATTAAATATTTAGACATTATATATTTACATTATATTATGATCTATTTGAGCCCAATGCATTATTTCAGACAGTAATAAGCTAAATATACACAAAATGATCATTTATAGAGTGCTGTCTACTGGGAGGTGGCTTTACCAAACCCTACCCATAAACTTCAACTTAAGAAAATAGTACTTACATTTTTTTCGCATTTTTTCAATTTTTTTTTGTTTATTTCTTTCACAGTGATGTTGGAAGATTTAGATTTTAATAATTTAGAGTTTAATAATCAAATGAAATTTCAATCAAAAAATCAAAAGTCAACCTTTTTTTCACCTTGTTAATTCATGGTCCATGTCATATTAAGCACAATTTATCATATTATATAATTTTAAAAGACAGAAGTCTTGTTTTCTTATAATCTTCCATCAAAATGTAATGACTCTAAAACATTCTGAAGTTTGACGACGTCATCATGCAGGTGAAAATATAATATTAACCAATAATATTGGGCCCCATTCACCAATATTTTCCCATGTTTTTTCTTAAATTTGTTCTTGAGAGAGGTCCTAAGAAAAAGTCTACGTCAGATTCATGACACGTCCTTATACTGCAGAACTGTTAACACCTTTAACCCCATCCACGGTGGCTTTAAGCCCATTAGTAGCAGCTGTAAGTGGTACAGTAGGTTATAACTGTAACTGCACTTTTCATGCATTTCAGATGTTCTTTGTAAGTGCCATGTGAACATTTCCTACCTACATGTTTCAAACTGATATCTAATTGGGTTCCCCACTGGGACAAACTGAGCTACTCAAACAGTACACTACCTGGAGCTTTCTATTAAAGAGCCTATATAACGGAAAAAAGATCTTTCTTTGCTTTTTTGATAGAGTTGAATGTATCATGTAGACATTGCCGAAATGCACTGTTTACTCCCTACTCCATACCGTCCATATCTGGAAACTAAATTACCCATTTTGAAATCTCCACTATTGTAATGTTACAACCACACATTTAAATATGACTGTTTGCTGCTGTTTTAAATGTTTTGTGCCTCATTTCACTTGTGACTGTGTCAGCCTTTCAGAGCAGAGCTCATTTACATACAGTCATATGCAAAAGTATGGATGTTCCTGGTCAATCCATGTCTTGTCGATGACAGCGAACACACTTCTGCACACTAAATACACAATTACTGTAAAAGTAAATTACTGTTTTTAGTACAGAAAATGTTATAAGTGGACCTTAAAGGGGAAAATGAAACACAAAAAGTGACTGTCACTTTCCCTCCTTTCTTTCACTGCTGTTATCGAAAGGGTTACACATCACTCCTCTTAGGATGGTTGCCTGGTACTGGAGTGGAACGGGTGCTGGACAAGCATTCTTAACATCACAATCTCTATGAATTTGATGGAAAAGGCAGTGTTCAGTGTGGCCATATTTCTTTCTGATTTACCACTATTTTACCATTATCATCCTGACAAATAAACCCAGAATACACATGTAAGTTCACTGGTTGTTTCAGATAGTAAATAAAATTGTAAATAATAGATAGTATATAATATTTGGGACACCTGGTTCCTGTTACCACCACTGTAACAAAAATCTTCTACAGTGAACCATTTCACATCAAACCATTCTGAAACTGCTGCTGTGTGCACTGATTGATTTTCTCATCCGCTCAGTGAACAAGCAAAGTCATATAACCTGCATTGAAAGTGACTCTAAGTGTTGCATTTAGAGCAGATGTAAGTGATTTGAAATGACTTACCGTCATGTTTTGAAAAAGCTGTTTGAGTAACTGGATCTCCACATGACTGCTGGGGATTATTCTCAACACCTGATCACTGCAAGAAAAAAGAGGTATAGATTTAACTTAGAAGTTATTAAGCTTGAAGTTCCAAAGCAGAAGACTGAAGAAAAACTGGACAGATGAAGTCTGGAAAAATCTTCAGAATTTGGCATAAACTGTATAAGTCCATGGACCCAAACTGCCTTATGTCCCCAGTTTAAGCTGGTGTAATTGTGTTTTCTTGGCCCCCTAATATCAATCAAGCAGAGTTTGAATGCTACAGTCTATCTGAGTACTGTTGCTGACCACATGCATTCCTTTATGGCCACAATTTACCTTCTTATCTTCTAATGGCTACTTCCAGCATGATAAGTCATCTCAAAGTGGTTCCATGAACATGGAGATTAGTTCAGTGTACTTCAATGGTCACCAGATCTGAACCTGAACCTTTAAGATGTTGTAGAAGCATAAATGTGTATACACCATATTTTGTCATGGGTCATTTTGGTAGTCGGAATATTTATGCATTAATAATGTGTTAATGCATTATTAATATAGCATATTTGAGCATTACACCATTCAAAAACATTTGTAAACCTTTTAAAAGCTGAGAATTTTGCTGAAAAATACGATAATTTAATTTTTTTTTTTATTCCACAACTTCAAAGAAAACAGTTACAATTATAACAATGTCAATTCCACAATATCTTGTAACCATCTAGCCCTGCTACCCCCAACCCCGTGACCCACCCTCCCTAAGAAAAATACATTATTAAAAAACCATAAGATAATAACAACGTAAAAAGAAAAAAGAAAAACCAATAAAACATTTGTTTAGCAGTCTAACAAAGATTAGCTCACACTAGTAAGACCTGCTGTAAAGCACTACTTTGACTTGCTATCATCTTGACAAGCCACACAGCCAACTCACCAGAAATGATAAATGATTCGTGAATTTGACAAGAAGGTTTAGTTCAAAGTTTTACTCCAAAACTAATAAAAAGTCAGGTTTACATGTTAAAGCTATAATCACATGAAAAATCCAATTCCTGCTTAGCCCAAATGTAGTCAGTCAGGCTAATGTAGCTAATGTAAAGTAGCTAAGTAATAGAAGCTTATGCACATCAACTAGCATTGCGCAAACAGCATGTCTAAAACATCGCACTTTCCTCAAACCACGTGAAGTTGTTAAGTAATCTTAAGTTGACTTGGTTATGTGGCTTTTAACATGCTATCCATAATTATGGATATCCATAATTCATGCTTTAAGGTGGCGGCTAATACGTTTTTAGCTATGCTAATATTGTCCATTTTCTGTTTTGCTTCAGTTAGCCTCGTAGCTCCAGTACAAAACTAAAGAAGCAAACTTCGGACACCAAACGTGTCTTCGAGGATTGTTTACATATGAGCAAAAACTAATTTGTCTCATTTTTTTCACAGAACTACTGCTTTTACGTACAAAATGTGAGTAAGAGACCTGCTGAGAAGGAAATGTTAGCCAGTCATTTCTGCTATATGTCAGTAAAAAGACCTGTGATGACTCAACGAGCATTTCTCTTCAAAAACACACTGTTTAAATCTCAAATAACTGCCCACAATCCGTTTTTTTCCGACCACATTATTAGCGATTAATGTGAGTGCTTCCAGGCAAGGAGGAGATGTAAGCTGGTCTTTTTTTTGTTTGGCTGACACCTAGAGGCTCCCTGACAGAGGTCACAAGCTGGTTCAACAACCACCAACAATGCATCAGTGAATGGAAGCTTCTATTTTTTCATGCTGCGGGTGTCAGGAGAGCTCCAGCTTAAAAGCTGCTCTTTTTACTCGCAGATAGAATCAGTTTCTCCTTCTCTAATCTGCACTTTAATCACTAACAAACTGCCAGACCTGTCACAGATCGGCAGTAAAAGGCGCACCCCCCCTCCGGAATGGAGATTACCCCTGACGTCAGGCCTATAGTGTTCCCTTTGTGCAGCGCTGACGTAGGCGGCATTGTGTGGCCTGGACGGTATTTTTAGAGAACCTGTAGGGTGTGACTTTAGCTAATATCTCTATAGAGAGAATGGAGGGTGGCTCAAGTTCCAATTCAGAAGGTTACAGCATTACGTCAACGTGTTTCCCTCAAAATAAAGAACTTTTTTTTTCACTTGGGGAATATTATGTCACCACATTTGGAGTGTATTTTCCAAAAAAAAACAAGTAAAAATAAGGCTTTCTTTGAGGAAAATAATCTGTACCATTGCTTTGAAGCTCCAAAGCAGGAGGCTGAAGGAAAATTGGACAGTTGAATATTGGAAAAATCTTGCCTGGTCTGACAAATCTCGTTTTCTGCTACTACATGCAGATGGTTGGGTCAGAATTTGGCATAAGCAGCATGAATCTGTAGACCCAAACTGCCTTGTTTTCCCAGTTTAAGCTGGCGGTGGTGGTGTAATGGTGTTTTCTTGATAACAATCAAGCAGTGTTTAAATGCCAGAGTCTATCTAAGTACTGTTGCTGACCACATGCTTTCCTTTATGGCCACAATTTACCTTCTTATCGTCTAATGGCTACTTCCACCATGATAAGTCATCTCAAATTGGTTCCACAAACATGAAAATTGGTTCAGTGTCCTTCAATGGTCACCAGATCTGAACCCAAACCTTTGAGATGTGGTAGAATCATGAATGTGTATATACCATATTGTGTCATGGTTCATATCGGTAGTCGGAATATTTATGCATTAATAATGTGTTAATGCTTTAAATGACTGATGCATTTTCCTAGTTTGGCTTTACAAACCACCCACAGCTCCAGCCTAAAGCTCAACCGTTCACACACCGTGACTATAGCCACCTCATTCAACTACAGCTTTTAAATAGCAAGACATTCCACTGATGGCTCTCTTGATAAAAACAAAGTTATTTCCAGCTGCTACCACGCCATTCATTTACTCATCACTGAAGTATGTTGAATGCGAAGTTTCATTTACAAGCAAAACACAGAGCTGATGTGTCAATGACGTCTTTAGCAGAATACGCTGGTGAATGTTCGTGAGAGACCTGTGGATAAATGAATGAGCAGCAAACCAACAAAAGCAACAGCAAGAAGGAAATCTCAAGTTCACCCAGCGTTCATGTGATTATGATCAGGTTTGAGCTGAATTACTACAAGTAATAAATACATTCTGTAATTAGTCTACATGCAATGCAGTTATACATAAAACATTCTTAAATAAAAACCTATCATTAATCCTGAAGATGTACGTTAAACGTATATTCTTTTATATGTGTGCTGAGCATCTTAAAAAGTGAGATTTTCACACTGAACTCTGCACATATACGCTGAAGTCCGAATATGGTCATTTTTGTATATTTTCAAAAAACAAAAATGAGGGCAAATAATCCTTTGTGAGGAGCTTTTTAGAAAATGCATTTGACAATGCAGAGTGCTTGGTTAATTTTGAACTGAAAGTAAAACAATTTCTTTTTGGTTCCTAAAGTTAAGATTAGGGTTAGGGATTAGGGTTAAATTTAGGTTTAGAAATGTCTTATTTATACGCACACACATATATAAGACCACTGCAAAAACAGTTGCTCTGGTTTTACTATTTAAAGGTATGTGTTTGATTAAAATAGAAGATTTTGTTTTATTCTATGAACTACTGACAGCATTTCTCCCAAATTCCAAATAAAAATATTGTCATTTAGAACATTTATTTGCAGCAAATGACAACTAGTCAAAATAACAAACATATGCTGTGTTTTCAGACCTCAATTAATCCAAAGAAAACTTCAGATTCACTTTTAAACAACATAAACTAACGTTTTAACTTAGCAAAAGTTCAGAAATCAACATATGGTGAAATATCCCTGCATCTTGGTATGCTTTCCTTCCCATTGCTGTTGGGTGATGTTATGCCAAAAATGGCAAAAATTCCAGCAGCTCAGCTTTGTTTGATGACTTGTGACCATCCATCTTCTTCCTGATCACATTTCAGAGGTTTTTGGGGTTCGGGTCTGGAGATTGGCCTGGCCATGACAGGGCCTTGATCTGGTGATCATCCATCTACACCTTGATTGATCTGGCTGTGTGGCCTGGAGTATTGTCCTGCTGGACAAACAAATCTTCAGCGTTGGGGCACATTCTCAGAGCAGAACGAAACAAGTTCTTCCATCACAAGCTTGTACATGATTTGATTCACATGTCCTTCACAAAGACAAATCTGCTCAAACCTGCCTAGCTGAAGCAACACCAGATCATCACCAATCCTCCGTCTAACCATTAGACAACGAGGACTCATGGACTCATCAAAGCAGACGATCTTACTCTCTAGTCCCCTACGCTCCAATCCTTCTGGCAAACCTAGGCCTGGCTCTTGCTCAATGCTTCTCATTAATAAAGGGCTTTTTTCTAGCTTTGCATGACTTCAGCCCTGCCCCTAGGAGCCTGTTTCGAACCGTCCTCACTGTGCACTCCACCTCAGCTGCCATTTGCCATTCTTTTTGTAGGTCACTTGATGTCATCCTACAGTTGTTGAGTGACACTTGAATGAGATGGTGGTCATCCCGGTCAGTGGAGAGTCGTTTTCACCCTCTGACGGTCTGTAGCTTTGTTGTCCCCAGTGTCTGCTGCTTGACCTTGTTCTTATGAACTGCTGTCTTTGAATTTTTAAGGATGGAAGTGACCTGACGCTCACCTTCTATCAGTAAAAGCAGAATTGAACCTTTGTTTTCCTCACTCAAAACTCTTCTCTTCCAGGCTTTTGGCATGGTAAACAGTGATTTTTGATTCCAATCACTTTTGAGGTACTACTAGCACTGTTTTTGCCATTCAGCTGGTCCTATTACAGGACGATAGTGGTGACCACAGCAGTGGTTTTTATACTTTTCTTTGTAAAATAATATTTGGTACAGGTGATCACCTAATCAGTACCTCATGAAGTAGAATTTAACAGATGCTGGAATGGAAAGGCTGCCATACAAGTAGAAATGCTGATTTAAGAAGGATTTGGGGTGGTCTTTATACATATATATATATATATATATATATATATATATATATATATATATATATATA